GTCAGCAGGTGCACCTCTGCCTTTTGCACCAGCTGGAGTTTCCAGATCAACCGCATCGTACTAAATAAAGATTCCCAAGGGTTCGTGCGGCCAGAGGCCATGTTGCTCCTATACTAAGCTTGGGAAGTCCATTGACAGAGGCTATATTAAATGTCACGTGCCAAGCCCAGAGAGATCTCCATGTCCAAAACACAGGGTTTTTTAGAAGAAGCCAAAACGGTTCTGCTACAAGCCTTTGCGTGCAGCCCGTTCAACAAGAGACCAATATTTAAACAACAAAAAACTCAAAAGGGAATGACACATACCCCAGTATTCAGTATTTTACTTTTAAAATGCTTTCAGAATTAAAGTGCAAGCATAAAATGTAAGTGAACCCACATATCAGACAATCAGCTGTTCTGCTGAGATCTAGCAGGCAAGCTGTAGGCACATACCCAGCCAGTAAAAAAGCTACCTGCAAAGGAGTGAAACCCCAAAGCTAATGTGGAAACCCATGTCCCACCCACCCCCTCAGAATTTGTACTGAGATACCCTGAAGAACTTGCTGTTGGTTGTGGCAGTCTTTGCGGAATTATGGCCATTGGCCATTGTGGCCCTAAAACATGCGTGGACTCCAAATTGTGCTACTGGCCTTTGAATTTAAAGACTATTCTGCAAAGGTTAAAATGCGATATGAAAGCAGGTTATGATTTGATTATCTACATAGCCTGCAGCCATCCCCCGTCTTGTAATTTCCAGGTAAACTTCTGGGACAAGTAAAAGTGCATGGAGTTCCACGGAAACCCAGAAAGAATTTTAAAAAGAATAAAATCATAGCAGGCAATCTGGCAGAAGTTACCAAATAAGCGGTGATACATGAGGTCATTATTTTCTTAAACAGTGCAAGCTCTATTCATTAGAAAATTAATTTACGGTGGAATCTGTTGGGAGACTTTGTAAGGATTAACAGGTCGGTGCTGTTCATACACTTAATCCTACTTCCTGCCTTTCCTGCAGCTGCCCAACCTATGGTACAGAAGGGTCACATCTCTATGTTGCTGGTAAAAAAACCCCAAGCTGTGCACTTCAAAGATCACACGGGGCCCACTGAAATGAGAGCAAACGTCCCCTACCATTTATAGTGTTCGGCCTTTATACACACTGTGTAAGACTACACACACAGCTCCCATCTACTGAAGTACGACTGAATCCTACAGCATCTCTTAGTAAACAGCAAACTGTAAAAACCCATCTCCAGAAATTTTTGGGGGGGGGGGGGGGAAGAAGATTTGTCTTTCCTTACTGTGAAGCTTCTTTCTCCATGGTCCAGGAGTGGGGCAGTCCTTGACTCTTGGGATTTCAACTCTGGTCTCCCCAGTCTTAGACCAACACTCTAACAACTACACTACTCACATACTGGACATGCAGTTAAAAAAAAAGGTAAAGGTTCCCTTGCTCGAAAGCCAGTCGAATCCGACTCTAGGGTTGCGGTGCTCATCTCCGTTTCAAAGCCGAAGAGCCAGCGCTGTCCGAAGACGTTTCCGTGGTCATGTGGCTGGCAAGGCGCACAGAACGCTGTTACCTTCCCACTGAAGTGGTACCTATTTATCTACTTGCAATTTCTTGCTTTCGAACTGCTAGGTTGGCAGGACATGCAGTACGAATCTCCAAATGCATCTCGGAATCCAGAGTAAATACTGGCTTCACAGATACCCTGGCCTGAAAATATGGGAGCATTTGGTTGAAGTAGGGTCCAGGGGAGCAGAAATGCCTGTCAGCTATGCTGCCATGGCAGCGGGAGGGGTCAGATGACCTGTGTACAAAGTACTGAGGTATTCCTTCTGTGCTTCTTCTCTGCTGTAATGCTTGCTTATCTACAGCATGCAGGTGGTGTGGTGTCTAGCAGTGAGGGAACCGTGGGAGCGCTGTCGGTTCCCAGCTTTGGCTCAAACGGCCTGGGGCTCCTTCTCCCGTGCGCGGGAATGTGGCTAATTGGCCTAAGGAGGGGGTGTGTGCATACGAATACCCTATATCCCATTATGCTTGTCAGGGCGACGCCATTCTTAACAGTGCCTTTGTTAATGCATCTATAGCTCTTCAATAAAGTATAACCTTTCTGATAAGCGTGTACTCCATTGTTGGCTGTGGAACCTGACAATGCCTCACTTTCTATACTGGGTGAACCAGCTTTGTCTCCTTTCCTCCCATGCACAGACTCACAGAGACCAAAAAAGGGGGGGGGGGCTATTCCCATTTCTTCCATTTCTTTTTCTCTAAAGCTGCAAGTCTTAGGATACGAAAATCGCCTTAACTTCCACCATTCCAGCCTCTTCTCTCCCACCCCACACATGGCTGAAGCCATGAATATTCCTAATAATTCCATTTATATTTCTCTTAATGCTTCAACTCCCAGTATACCAAAATCATGTCCCAGGACTTCCTGTCGACGGAACAGCGATGGCGGACGCTCTCCTCACAACGGAGGAGGGCGAATCGCACACCAGCGGCCTGGAGGGGTGCCACCTCAAGTGAAACCCCCAAGGTGCTACGCCAATTGCACTGGCTACCGATTGAGGACCAGGTCTGCTTCAAGGTGCTGGTGTTTATCTTCAAAGCCTTGCATTGCCTGGGACCAACATACCTAAGGGACCACCTCTCCCCGTATGTGCTCCAGAGAGCTGAGCATGATCTGCTGGTTGTCCCCGGCCCAAGGGTGGCCCACTTAGCCTCAGCCAGGGCCATTTCTGCCCTGGCCCCGGCCTGGTGGAACATGCTCCTGTGTGAGATAAGGGCCCTGCGGGACCTTTTACTGTTCCGCAGGGCCTTTGGTTGGGGCGGAGGGCATCCAGTAAAAACATCTTGGCCTCCCCTTCTGAAGACACCATCTCCATGCAGCCCAGATTGAACAAACTCATACCGATTTCACACAAGATCTGCGCCGCGGTTGCACCTCCCTTTGCCCCGCTTCTATCGGTCAATTTCCCATTCAAAGCCACGCAGCTGCATTTTGACCCGCGGCTTCGCCCGATTTTCCCCATGGTTTTGTGATCCTCAAAGAAACCAGGATCACAAATTAAATATTTATTATTACATTTTGTGTGCCAAATGGCCTAACTATTGCTGTGATCTACCCTCAGCCCATTTGCGGGGAGGGCAGACTATAAAAATAAAATAAAATAAATGAATAACACAGTATGATCCAAAATCTCTTCCTGCCTTTCTTTTTTCAACTCTTTTCTTTCTTCCCTGTTTTCCTTTCTTGTACAAGGAGGAATGAGGGAGGGAAAGGCTGTTTTTATTAAAATGCACAGTTTTATGCTTTTTTTCTGATAAAAAACCTAAGGACAGAGATTTGAGTACCTAATGGCAAAAACATCTGATCCATTTGCAGCAGTAGACAAAGTGATCTAAGATTTTTCTTACTCTTTTCTCTCTGTGTGGTGTATCATGTTTATAGAACAAGCTTCCCACCCTCCAGCTTGCTAAGAATTAGGACTCAGTGGAACTTGCTCTTCCACAGTTTGAATCAGTTCTTCATCAAGTGCCAACTTCTGCCACTCTTGAACCACTCCTGTTCTTCCTTCTTGAGAAGTCTTACAAACCAGGTTTGCAAAGAACTAGTGACACAGTTGTTTGGGCTAATTAAAAGTCTGACTCTGTATCAATGGCCCTTTCTACACTCTCCTTTTAATCCATGTTCACCGCGGTATCCTCCAAGCAATTCTGCACTAAAATTAAATTCAACCTTCTTTTTAATTCCAGGGTTTTTTCCATTCTTCACTAAAATCGAGTTCAGTCTTCTTTTTTTTCTATTTCCCCCCCATTCTGCATTACATTCCCTCCCTTCAGTGGTCAGCCCAGTTTCAGCCTGCTGTTGCCCCGGGTTATTTGGATGCTGTTTTGCCCTGGACTTAAATTCCCTCGACTTGTATTGCCCATGGATACAACACCTGCTTGATTAGGCACTGATTTCACCTTGTACATCTCTGCCTTTATTAGAATGGTAGGAAAACCATCTAAGTTTATGAGCAGTTTAACAATATATAAATACATCTCTTAACATACTAATGTCTTTCCACTGGGTGGGAATGATCCATTTGGTATGCCACGACTAGCTCTTTTTATCCCAGTGAGAATGTTGCTGGCTTGTAGCAATAGTTTCATTTAACTCCTAAAACTGAGGTCAAAGGTCTGACTATGTATTTAAGATCTCTGGTCATTGTGCTGTCTTGTTATCTGTGGGATATTCGGTTTAAAAAACTTCATCCCATTAGAGCTGCCGATTTTCAGATTAATAGCCATTGCACATGAATTTGAAAATTAAACTTATTAGTTTGTTTACACATACACACACACCGTCTAACCCATGCTAGGGTTCCAAAGAAGAAGAAGAAGAAGAGATTGGATTTATACCCCGCCCTTCACTACCCAAAGGAGTCTCAGAGCGGCTTACAAACTCCTTTCCCTTCCCTTCCCTTCCCTTCCCCACAACAGACACCCAGTGAGGTCAGTGGGGCTGAGAGAGCTCTTGACAGAAACTGCTCTTTTTCAAGAACAGCTCTGACAGAACTTATGACTGACCGAAGGTCATACCAGCAGGTGCGAGTGGAGGAGTGGGGAATCAAACCCGGTTCTTGCATATTAGAGTCCGCGCACTTAACCACTACACTACACCAAACACATGGATTCTGTTAAATGTGAACAGAGCTCTGTCATTGCCTTAAATGGATATAATACCTGCTTGCTCAGTTCTAGTACAGGATGAGGGATAACAAGATCAAGAACTCAGAGTACATGTTATTGGTCACAAGATCTTATTTTGCAATCATGCGGTGGAATTTTTAATAAAGGAATATTTTAAAGATTTATTTGTTTATAATCTCTGTAATCTTGACTCTAAGCACATGATGAAGACTGCAAACTTGCCAATAACTAGTTTTTGCTTTTTATTTGGACTGTTGACTTAATTCTAGATAATCCAGTCAATTGTAAGATAGTACTTTTGTGTGTTCTTTCTGTAGTTCACAACTGGACGCAAGAAGAGACGCTTCAGTGGCTGGTGGACTTTGTTGAACTTCCTCAGTATGAGAAGAACTTCAGAGAAAGTAATGTCAAAGGAACCACATTGCCTAGGTAACTCTTCTGCCCCGATAGGTTCTGTGCACGTGGTACTTGTTTTACAGCAGGATTTGAAGCACTGCTTCCCGTGTTTCACACTTCCTCTTGACCGGCAGACTGTTACTGTATACTGCTTGCAGTTAGCGCAGAAGATGTTTCAAATTCAGCATACAAAAAGTTAAGGACACGTATTTAACTATTTCTTACGCTCAGTCCTCCACAAAAACACTTGCCCATGAGCTAGCAGTGCGGTGGCTCAAGTGGTTAAGACGCTGAACTGCAGGCTGTGGAAGGTCAGTAGTTCGGCAGTTCGAGACCCAAGTGTGCCGCAAGACGGAGTGAGCTCCCGTCTCTAGTTCCAGCTCCTGCCAACCTAGCAGTTCGAAAGCAAGAAATTGCAAGTAGATAAATAGGTACCACTTTGGTGGGAAGGTAACAGCATTCCGTGCGCCTTGGTGTTTAGTCATGCTGGCCACATGACCACGGAAACGTCTTCGGACAGCACTAGCTCTTTGGCTTTGAAACGGAGATGAGCACCGCAACCCTAGAGTCGGACTCAACTAGCTTTCAAGCAAGGGAACCTTTACCTTAAAGAAAGTCCCACCAATCAGATGATGCTTATGTGACGATTAGTCAAAACTCCTCTTTGGTGCAAAAATAAATAATTAAATCAGATTATTTTCTTTTCAGAACAATTAGCATAGAGTCACCATAGTAGTATAAGGTCATTTTAATCTAGGAATTGTATGTTGCTGAGCTTGCTTCTCCATATACATGCTTAGCATCTTGCTGGACGTTATTATTTACTCCCTTGTAAATTTGCTTAGGATTGCCGCTGCGGATTTGTAGTTATGTAGTTCTGTATGGTGGTTTCACCGCATATTCATTCTGATAGAAGCTTTGCTCGCTTGTACTTCAGGGCCATCCGCAGAGCCCCGACTCATCCAGCTGTAGCACAATTCCTGCGGCTTAATAGATGGGCTCAGATTGTGTCCTTACACAGCTGTTGTCACTGAAGTGAAAAGACTAGCACGGCCAAGATGCTGATACTTCTCTCTAGGTGAAGACCCATATAAGTAGCAAAATAAGAAAAGTCTAAAGTTTGTGACTATTTGGTGCAGAGGAATGGCTTTGTTCCCGGTCTCATGACATTTAAATTAATCTGTTACCACCCCTGCTGAGTGTGAAATTCATTTAAAAGGTAAAGGGGGGGGGGGGTGTTAACCATTATTGGCACGCTGCATGCTGCAGAATGTTCTGTTGTGTTTGCCACGTCTTTAAGCGGTTGCTTTTGGGACAAGGGATCTAAAACCTCCACTTTGTTGTGTGCAGGATAGCAGTTAACGAACACGCATTTATGATCTCTCAGCTGAAAATCATTGATCGGAGCCACAGGCAGAAACTTCAGCTGAAGGCCCTGGATGTTGTTTTGTTTGGACCTCTTACACGTCAGTACCATTTTTATTTATTTCCACCCCCGCCTTTTAGCTGATGGTAGAATGCATTCTGTATGATGTTGCTTATATTAGCCATATATTCACTACATATACCTGCATTGCTCTTCTTTCGTACAAGGTGGTGGGCTGCGCAGGAAAATTGCATCCTGTGTCTCACTTCCACAACAGACAAGCTCCACTCGGCAGCTGGGGCAGCCATGAACTGTTGACCCTTCTTTTTCCCCCTGCCCGCTGGTCTTTTGCTATGAGATTATGCAGATACATGTTCCTTCTGAAATGATTAAGTGGGGGGGGGGGTTTGGGGGGGAGTAACTTTTTAAGGAAAAAAATCACCTTTTCCCCCACAATAGCATCATTTTATCTACGTTGAAGGAAATGGCAGGTGGGGCAGTGTAATTCTAAATTGTCACTATGTAATGACACTCCCAAGGGCAAACGTGGCCAACTTAGAGCGTAGATGGCATATCCTGGACTGATCATAAGCTTAACCTGGGCTGATCATAAGCTTGAGGGGTGACCAAACTTGCTTAACATAAGAGCCACATAGAATAAACATAAGATGTTTCAGAGCCACAAGACATGAACAAATATTGCACAAAAGTTTTCATTGCAAAATATGCACATTTGCTTTTTATTAACATTAAATGAGATTGCCAAAAATAAAAACAAAAGGAGTAAAAACAAATATTGATAATGATATTTTTCCAATTATATTTTTTTGTTTGCTAATGGTATTTGTCTGAGAGAGAGAGAGCAGATAGATTGGAAGGAGGGAGAGGGAAGGAAGGAAGAGAGAAAGGGAGGAAGGGAGAAAGAGAAAAGAAAGGTGGGAAAAAGCAAATAGTTGGGGAGGGAAGAAAGAAGGGGGAAAGAGAAAGAGAGAGAGAAACAAAGAAATCAAATAGATGAGGGAGGGGAAGGAAGGAAGAGCGAGAGAGAGATAGAAACAAAGCAAATAGATGGGGGAGGGGAGGAAGGAAGGAAGAGAGAAAGAGAAAGGTGGAAGGAATGAAAAGTGGGGAAAGGAGAGAGAGAAAGAGAGAAACAGAAAGCAAATAAATTGAGGGGGAGGGAGGGAGGAACGAAGAGAGAGAGAAAGCGGAAGGAAAGGGAGAAAGAGAGAGAGAGAAAGAAAGGTGGAAAGAAAGCAAATTGATGGGGGGATGGGGGGAGAGGTGGAAAGAAAGCAACTTTAACGTTAAATGTGTCCTCTAAGCCCCCACCCCCACTAGCTGGCTTGGCTTGGAGAAGGGATTTAGTGGTGGTGGTGGCGGCTTTGAGAACACATTTAAAGTTAAAGGTGCTTTCTTTCTTTGCTTCTCCCTCACACCTCAAGCCTACCCAGGGAGGGAAACACTGGCTGGGGAAGGGAAGGCCGATTGAGGAGGCATGCCTCCCCTTCACTTCTCCAGGAGCTGCACAATATGTGTGAAAGAGCCACATGTGGCTCCCGAGCCGCAGTTTGGCCACCCCTGAGCTTGACCGATCTCATCTCAGCCACACCCACCCACTTGCAAGGCCTCTGCAAAGAATGGGGAAGGATCTTGCTGTTGGAGAAGCCGTCTCACCACCAGTGCTCTCCAGTTCTTCCCAAACAATCCTGCCCCTTTTCTCAGAGCCTCCCCCCCCCCTATATCACCAAAAGAAGGAACTTCTCAGTTAGGCCAACTTTTAGGCAGAACGCCCTTCCTTTCCCTCCTGGCTTTGGCACAGCTGCATTCTAAATTTCTCTTGTGTTGGTCCACACTGCCTCAAAACTCTGTGGAATCCCAAGAGCTCAGTGAGGCCAGGCTTGTAAATGCCAGCCACCCGCAGTGGGTGGCTGCTTCCAGGTGGCCAGGCATGGTGGCTCTGGTTCTTTTCTGTCTGTCTGTCTGTCTGTCTGTCTGTAAAGCTATAAATGATTAATGTTGGTATTGGTGGACAAGTCTGCTAATAAACACCCGTAGGGGCTAGTAATTTCGGTTCTGTTCTTTAAATTTTTTCACGATTTTTAAAAAAGAAAACCCTTATTTTATTGGTTTCAGAAGGGATTGGGGGATTGCACCTGAATATTGCACATAGACTTGGGGGATGGGGGGGGGAATCAACATTTCACAGCCACCCCAGCTGGTCCGTATAGCCGGGCTGTTCTGGAAGCGGGGCACGAGATGTCGCTTTCCTGCCTTACCCTTGTGCAAAAGAGGGGATTGGCCACGTGCATAGACCCGTAAGGCTCCCCGGAGTCCGGCGTGTGCCCAGTCAGATGTTTCCTGGTAAGGGACCCTCTGTGCCTTGTAACAAGCCCGTTCCCGTCTGTGTTTTTTAGAAAATAGCTTTCCATATGCTGACAGGAAACTACTGTTTCCACAGTGCAAACCCTCTTTGGGTGCATGTTTGGATCCTGGCCATGACATGAAGCAATTTTTCTTTGGCTGGGGTCAGAAGAGAAAACGCAAGCTTGGAACTGTTCAGATTCAGTGCTGAAGTGTGTTAACGGGAAGTGTGTGTTTTGTGAAGTCTGTTTGCATACTGTAAAATTAAACTTCATAATAATTAATTTAGAATATTTATACCCTGCCTTTCCCTTATGGCTGGAAGTCGTTTACGATCCCAGGAATGAACCCCCTGTATAGGATCCTGCCCCCACGCCAGTCTAGGAATGAGGGAAGAACTCCTGTATTTTTACAATACAAAACAACAACAATACCCAGCTCTGGCACCTCCTCAGAGATACACTCTTTTAAGGCTCAATGGTAGCGTGTAGCCCAGCTAGGCACACCAGAATCTAGGCTTAGAGTCCAGTTACTCATCAGCAGACCGTATCCATGAACAAGAGTAAAGTTTATTTAGCACAGAACTTGCAATCAGAACTAGAAAGGGTTACAAAATAACAAATCTTATGGCCCTTGGCCCTGACTAGACATTAGAGACATGTATAATTACCAACTCCAGGAATCCATAGTCCCAGACAGTCCATTGTAATAAAGTCCAATTAGGTCCCATCCTTGTCCAAGGTGCCAGCCATGTGCTCAGCTGCACCAGAGAATCCTTTGTCTCCCAAAGAGCACATGACAGAGACACAGCATTCCAGGGTACAGGCAGGAACAGAGAGAGAGCAAGCCAAAAAAGTGAGCTCCCCTCCAAGGGTTCAGACTATTAACCCCCAATCTCATTATGATCAGCCCTGGCCAGGAGCCAATCCAATGAGGAAGGGGATGTCCACCTTATTGGGGTTGTCATGGCTACAACCTCTGAGTGGTCAGTAGTCCCGGAGGCCACACCTGCAGTTGTGGTCTCCCAAACCCTAACCCCTCCTCTATGCCTACGAGACTCCTGACATGCAGGCACAGGCAGGCGCCATCAGGTCTGCCAGAAGTGTGAAAGCATATGTGGTTATATGGCATGGCAATTGAGCCCATTTGGCTTCTAGAGGAAATGCACACCACAGGGGTCAGCTAGATACATTCCAAGAGAGAAACATGAGCCTACCGAACATTCAAGGGAAACATAAGGCCTACATGAATTAATATTTCTATACACCCCCATGACCCCCCCCCTTCCCAAGAAAATTCCTGTGGCTGAAATGCCCATTAATAATTAGCATTGCCGGGGGGGGGGGTTTCGGCATCTACCTCCTTATCCTTTTCCATCTGCATTTCTCAGGGCCACCTCATAACTGGATGAAAGACTTCATACTCACAGTTTCCATTGTGATTGGTGTGGGCGGCTGCTGGTTTGCATACACTCAGAACAAGACCTCGAAAGAGCACGTCACAAAAATGATGAAAGATTTGGAAAGCCTTCAGACAGCCGAGCAGAGCCTGTGTGAATTGCAAGAGAGGTAGGTGAAAAACCCTTAGCATTTGCTACCCCTTAGCACCTGCGTACTCCTGTTCAGAAACACGTATGGCCGACATCTCAGTAAAGAATCTTGCATTGCAGGTTGTCCTCTTTGTAGAGGGCTGACACTCAGCATATGTTGCTTATACCATCTTGTGAAGTTCCAGTCAAGGTGGGCTTAGAGCTGAGATATCTATATATCTAATAGCGACAGGCGCCCCCTGTGTGCGGATACCTAAATCCGCACATCGGGGGCACCTGGGGGGGGGGAGATTTTTGTGCACACTTGGGACGGTCCCCAGATGTGCACAAAAATCCTAAACCTAAAAAGAACTATCGGGAGGATACTTAAATCCCCCCGAAACTGACAGAGCGTCCCCTGCGCATGCGCAGAGCCGGGGGGAGAGCAGCGAGGGCCAAGCGGCGCGCCGCTCAGCCCTTGCTTCAGGGGCGGGAAGAACCAGCAGCGAGGGCCGAGTGGCTCGGCGCTCGCTTCGGGGCCGGGCGGGGAACGGCGAGGAGCCGGGGCCTGCTGCTTCCTCTGCCTCCCCCCCCCCGCAAGTATCGCGGGCCCCGCCCCTTGTTGTAATCTATTCTCCTGGCTACACCAGCTCTTCACGTGCAGTCAGCTTGTACAATTCCATTCTTCACAGACTTTAAGTTCTCTCCCTCCCCCTCCATTTAAAATGAGGGGGGATACAACTGTAAACACCTTACTCCATTACTGGATGAGATTCTCGGTTTTAATGAAAAAGCTAAGCTTGATTATCTTTCATGCGATAAGAATTCCAGGATGAGGTACCAAGTAGTCAAATTCTGCATGTTGATACTTTGGCTACGCAAATTGTATCGTAACCAGATTTCAGTTTTATTAGACCACGTTTTATCCTATAAACGTTGTTTGCTGTGTAAGCTGTAAAACTGATTATACGTTGGGTCAAGTCACCGTAACAAATAAACTAAACTAAACTGTAAACACCACCTAATTTAATGGTTATCAAGAGGTGGGTAACCCTTCACAGCACATCTGACATAAAGTGTTGCTAGGTGATGGTAAACCAGAGGGCTGTAAATGATTTCAGTCCACCGGATTGCGAACAGAACTAAGTCGGCTGTATTAACTTGGGAATTGGGGTGTGTGTCTACTTTGAAGGCTTGAAAAAGCACAGGAGGAGAACCGGACTGTCGCTGTAGAAAAGCAAAATCTGGAGCGCAAGATGATGGATGAAATTAACGATGCAAAACGGGAAGCCTGTCGTCTGAAAGAGTTGAGGGAAGGAGCCGAATGTGAGCTCAGCCGGCTTAAGTATGCAGAAGAGGAGCTGGTTCAGGTATTTCTAAATGGCTGTTTGCTTCTAGTGTCTGCGCTTCCAGTTGCTGTGAAACAACCAGTTTCTGTTGACATCCCGCCTAAAGATGTGAAGGCCTGGAAAAAAGCTGGAAAAATTCGGGGGAGAAATGGTTTTTTTCTCGTTTTTTTCCTGAAGCCTTTTTTGTTTTTTCCCCGAAAAATGGGGAAAAATTGAAAAAAGAAAAGAAAAAAAATTGATTATGGAACGTTTTATTTTAAGATGATGAATAAAATATTTTAGAACAAGGTGTTGAAATATTTTTCCAAATCATTTCTAAAAAATATGTATGGTATCAGATTGAGCTAATTTCTGTGCACTGAGGGCAAGCAAGTCCTAGGTTACAAACTGAAATCTCCAATGCAAGAACAAAATGCATTTCTTCCTTTAGGAGGTGCTGTCACAAGAAAAGAAAAAGGTTTCAGTTTTTGCATGTGGGCGGGTATTCTGTTTGTAATCATTGTTTGGATACACTATATTTTTAATAGGCTAGTTGTGATAATTTCATGCCAAGTAAAAATGTCCATAGTCATATTTTCTGTTCCTAAAGTAACAGAATGACTTTCAATCTGGAAAAGAAAAAAGAAGTGCTAATGTAGAATTTTTTCCAAATTTTCTGAAAATTTTCGTTTTCTTCCGGAAAAAAACGGTTTTTTTCCCCCGAGCTTCAAAATTTCCGGAAATTTTACATCTCTAAAATTCCCCCCTCCCCCCCCCTCGACCCTACTATGCTGTTCTATGCTGTTCCCGAGGGTATGCCGAGTTTAGGAACAGGAGAGTGGGGCACACTGGGCTGCAGCGGGAAAAGGAAGCATGAAAGTTTCACTTAGTGGCGCCTGCATGTGGCTGGCTACGTATGGCTGTGCTCAGAAAATGTACAGTCCTTCAGGGTTCCTAGAACCACAGATATGTTTTCCTACGTTCGTTGTGATGAAGAGTCGCCCCCACCATTGGACGCAGGGGTCGGGACTGGAAGGATTTACATCTTCTTCTCCACAGCTGTGGGCTAGTTTGTAGCCTCTGACTGAGAGGCAAAATGTCACTGTAGGCCAGAGAGGTGAACTGAGGTCCATCCCAGACAGGCAGTTCAAGCTGAAGCCAGGAAAGCGGTAGGTCCCGCGCAGTGTTCCCTCTAATATTCTCCCCCCTGCTGAGTGGAGCAGTTCACATCCTGAGCAGAAGATAACTGCTGTCATCTTAGAAAGGGCGTTGGGCAGATTGCCGCTGAGCAGGGCTCCCTGTGTTAATGAATGGCTGCTCAACCGCACGTCTTAGCAGGAACACTGGTCGTGCAGCCCATGGACAGGAGGAGCCAGGCTTCTAGAGCTAGGCCCCAAAGCAGGGACAGGTTATGGCAATGCAAAGGGAGTGGAGCCTGTCGGTGTCATGGAATCAAAGCCTTCTAACGGGAAAGGCATGTCGACACCGGGAAAAGAAAGGGCAGTGAGGGTGGAGGGAGGAGAGGAGCCAGGCCTCCCAAGGGCTTGTGGTTTCTCACCACTCTTACCGCTCAGGAAGCAAAGTCCTGCCTGGTGTCCAGAATGCCATGGAGCAGCAAGGCAAATTAGGCTACCCACCAATTGTTTCAGCATTGCTTGTAAAGACTGAAGCAGCAGCAGCAGAAGAAGAAGAGGAGATTGGATTTATACCCCGCCCTTCACTGGGAGTCTCAGAGCGGCTTACAAAGTCCTTTCCCTTCCCTTCCCCTCCCCACAACAGACACCCTGTCAGGTAGGTGGGGCTGAGAGAGCTCTTTCCAGCCAGGTGCAAGTGGAGGAGTTGGGGAATCAAACCCAGTTCTCCCAGATTACAGTCCGCGCACTTAAGCCCTGCACCAAACTGGCAGCAGCTGTCTGATCGCCATGAAGCGGTATTGCTCATGCTCAGTGTTTGACAGCAGGATGAGAAAGTCGCAGGTCTCTGCTGAAGGAAGTGGAAGACTGGGCTGCTTTGGGGGGGTTCATATACTAGGGCTGTAATTCAGCTAAAGCAATCCAAGTCAGTAACCATAAAAGTTTTTTTTTAACCTACATAAATTTGTGCATGAATGAAAACAACTATTCCGAATGGAAAGATGTTTCTTTTGTTTGCTTTGGGCAATGTACGTCCTTGTCTCATCAAGCCATGCATGAGACTCATTTCCTCCTGCGCACCAGTCGAGGAATGGCTGCTCTCCAAAGAGCGTGCCCCCGCCATCTACAATTTTTATACCTGCGGTTGTTAATAATCCGAATAAACTTTGAGGAAAAGTCCGTCTGTCCTTTCCAGTTAGCTGGTCACCTTTTAAAACTGATTTCAGTATAGGGGAGTGGTGGCACAGAGGATTTATCCTCTGGTTAACATCTTAACTGAACAGAGTTGCTGTCAGTTCTAGCCCACGCTGGTGTGAGCTACCAGCCTTGTCCCCAGCTCGCCGTCCACCCAGTGGTTTGAAAGCTTCGGTGAGTAGATAAAATGGGTACCACTCCTCAGAGAGGGTGGGCACATTAAACCCCCATAGGGGAGGTGTTAGCTGACAAATGGAATGTCCAGCTCGGAAGCCTGGAAAAAAGACCTCTTCGGCATCAAGAAGCCTGTAATGGGCCAATCCAGCCAGGCGGCGGCAGTGTGGCGCTACGACTCAAAAGCAGCCCAGGAAGAACTAACGTCATCAAGCCAAGCCAAAATGAATGCCGCCCGGAACACGAGTGAAGCCTACAGCTGAACAAAATCCCCATCGGCTGCAAACGTGTGCGATTTAAAGAATTATATGTTGTCCTCCCTTACCCCTATCATTGTTAGTCCTTTGTGAAAACCTGTGTAACTGTAAATCGCTCAGAGCCAGCAGCTCTGCAGGATTGAGTGATCAATAAATCAAAAGGTATTATTATTATTATTATTATTATTATTATATTTATTATTACATCCGAGGTGTCGACTAACCCGGCAGCCTTATTGCATGCCAAGTACTGACCCTGCTTAGCTTAATGAGCTCTGACAAGATCAGGCTATGCCGCGCTGTCTTCCCTCCCCACAGAAGTGTTAGCAGATCAAAAAAAAAGAAGTTTCTAACATGTCTGTTTTACATTCGGTCTTCCTGACTCCGCCTTGTGTCTCTTGGCTCTCCTTTAGGTCCGTATGGCTTTAAAAAAGGCTGAGAAAGAGTTTGAACTGAGAAGTAATTGGTCTGTCCCTGATGCACTGCAGAAGTGGCTCCAGTTGACGCACGAAGTGGAAGTCCAGTACTACAACATTAAGAGGCAGAATGCAGAAATGCAGTTAGCCATTGCCAAGGAGGAGGTACCGTGAATTCTCGAGCCAGGGCAGCCTAAAATAGCAAAAAGCCTGTTGATTTTGTTTCTCTGATGATCAAGTGCTAGGCGGTCTTGGCTGCAGAGCCGTAACTACCACAGATTCCAGGTTCTGAGCAGACTTCCGTGGCAAAAATGATAAATCAAAATTCTAGGGCCATGTGCTTTAGCCTTCCTTGGCTCCGCAGAGGCGGCCCCCATGTTGCTTTGGCTGTTTTTATGCTGAGTTCCGTCTGCTGTCTATGTAAAGGCAGATTTATAGTCTTCCCTGTCCTGAAAGTTCACAAATGGGTAACACTTGATAGACTGCAGGTCCAAAAGCTACATTCAGCAAACTTAACCACAAGCAAATTAAAAGGCGCACAAAGCCAGCTTGGTGCTGCACTTGTTCCTCTCCCGTTGTCAAATCTCGCACCCAGCTCTGTTTGCCGTAATAAAAGGGGGGAAGGGGAATTCTTAAGGGGGCGGGGAGTGTCAGATGTTTGTGTGAACCTTTTGCTTCTAGCGGAGTAACTTCCCCAAGGATGACACCTCCCTCCCAGGGGGGAGGGGGATGCCTTGAGACTTGTTGGAGCCTGCTTGCTTTGTGGATGGTTGGATCCTGCCCTCCCACTTGGGGGGGGGGGGTAGATGCAAAGGCTAGGCGTGATGAATGTGAGGTGTGTGTGTGTGTGTGATCTGCTATTGGGGAGGGGTCTTTCTGGAGTGCCTATATTATCAGGGTACTCGCCTGAAATCTTTAGTTCTAACACAAGGATGCTTTCACCTGGAACTTGCTTACTTTTCTCAATGAACGAATCTTTTGCCAAAGAGAGGGTTGTTGAGAGTAACTCGGCCAGGGGTCTGACACCCATTCCCATACCTGGGGGAAACTAACCCCCGAGCCTGCATTCATACATTACGCATGGCCATGCTCCATGAAAGAAGAGAGGGATGGGAATGTGAGCTCCAGCAGTTAGCGCGCATTGTACCTTAGCCGTGGCGTTATGCTTGCTGTCATAATGCAGCCAAAATGTCTAGTTTAAAAAAACCCCCAATGGATTAGACCTGCCTGGGTAGACAATGATTATTGGCGGGATATATTTGAAACGAATATTGTGATAAAATCGACAAGATAAAAGAACGTGCTCAATTGTCTCAACCTGTCCAGAATTACAAGGACAGAGTCGGCTTGCATATGGGGGATGAGCATATCTCCCTTGCAGGAGGGCAGATGGGAGGACATTTAATCGTGCTAAGGTAAAAGCTCTGTGGTGCTTAGAGAGTTCTAACGAATAAAGGTAACTGGATGGAGCAAACAAAATTCTACTCTTCTTTTTAGTTGATATTTGTAATGAAACTACTGCTAAGGCAGCAAGATTTTGTGGTAACCAGAGAGAAGACTTCTTAGGACACTTTAAAATCCATGTTGTCTTAACTAAAAATTTTACCTGTACCAACTGTCTGGCTGTATTTCACTGTTAACTATATGTAACATTTTAAGGTACTTGCTGATCTTTGATCATAATAAATCAAATTGAATTGAAGGGGGGGGAATGCGTTGCTTTGGCAAGTCTCCAGTGGGAGGGAACTGCAGCCCTGTGGAGTGGCTTTGACAGCACCTCTGGGTGTGAGTCCGGTGCCTTCATAGTGGCACAGGGGAGGGGAGAACTTTTGGAAGGGGTGTGGGGGTAGCGGGGCAGGTTATCTCTGAGTATACGATGACCAAGCCATTGAGGTTTTCAAATGGTAATGCTTTCTGGGCATAACCCGCTGTCAGAAAGATTCTCTCTGTCTTTACCAGCTGCGTGGTTTCTCTAAGCCTTGGCTCCTTGTTTGCCCTCTAGGCAGAAAAGATTAAAAAGAAGAGAAGTACTGTCTTTGGGACATTACATGTTGCGCACAGCTCTTCCCTTGATGAAGTGGACCACAAGATTCTGGAGGCAAAGTAAGGAAGTGCCCCTACATTTCTTGTGTGGGTTACGCTTCCCTTGAAGGGGCAGGTTCACTGCTTGGGCGTGCTGCCGGATTCTGGCCTGCGGTTAGAGGCTCCAGTCTCCTCTGTGGAACACTGTAGAGCCTTCCGTCTCCTGTGGCTGGTTCGGCAGCGACGAACGTTCCTTGAAAAGCATCACCTGGCCACAGTGATCCATGCTCTGATCACAGCCAGGTTAGACTGAGTGCGTGCCACGTGGGGTGGCCTTTGAAAAAGGTCCCAAAACGCCAGGTGGTCCACTCCAAAATGCGGTTCCTGTGTTACTGTCAAGGGTTGATCACAGGGATTGTGCCACTCCTGTGCTGGAAGATCTGCACGGGTTATCCATCCGTTTCTCTGCACAATTCAGAGTACTGGTTTTGACCCGAAAGGCCCTAAAATTCCTGGGGCCGGGGTTGCCTGGAGGCTCATTCCCTCTCATCCTGCCCAGCACTCTACTTAAGATCTGCCTCTCAAGTCCTTCTCCCTGTGCTCTCTTGGGGGGGGGGGGCAGGTGGTGGTGGGCAGTGTTCCCTCTAAGCTGAGTTCGTGTGAGCTAGCTCACAGTTTTTAGCCTCCAGCTCACAGATTTTTGTCGTAGCTCAGGAAGGAATGGTTCCAGAGCAAACTGATTTATGCAGTAGCCAAATTGCTAACTCACAACTTTAATGCCAGTAGCTCACAAAGTAGAATTTTTGCTCACGGGACTCCACAGCTTAGAGGGAGCATTGGTGGTGGGACCTCGCCTTGGGAACACCCTCCCCTGTGAGGCTTGGCTGGCGCCTCTGTTGCTCTCTTTTCGGCCCCCGGGCAAAACTTATCTTTTTACCCGAGCTTTTAAGTAAGGTTTTACCCCTTATCAGCTCTGTAATGAGCTGCTTCTGTTTTATGGGTAGCTTTGATGCCATTTGTGTCTAATGGCTTGTGTTTAATGCCTTGTGCTTATATTGGGGACATTTATTTATTTGTTACTTATTAAAACTCAGCTTGTGATGCCGCCCTTCCCTGCAAGCGGGGGGAGCCTTATCTGAACTGTAAGCCAGCCCGAGTAGGGCTCTGAAGAGATGGCAGAGAAATACCCGGCCAGAGCCAGTGGGGTGTGGTGGTTAAGAGGGGCAGACTCTAATCTGGAGAGCCAGGGGGGTCTGATTCCCCGCTCCTCCTCCACATGAAGCCTGCTGGGTGACCGAGGGCCAGTCACGGTTCTCTCCGGACTCTCTCATCCCCACCTGTCTCCTCACAAGGGGCCTGTTTGGGGGGGGAGGAAGGGAAGGACATTGTGAGCCACTTGGAGACACTCCTTAAGTTAGAGGAAAGTGGGGTATAAAAACCTTCTCTTCTAAATAAATAAACCAAGTCCAGTCAGTTGTTTATTGCTATCAACACTGCATTTTTAAAATTAAAAAATACCAAGATCAAGGATGTGGATTTTAATTTTGCTGTGGAGGATAAATGAGGTTCCTGAAATATGCAGCCGTTAATATTGCTGATATGGATCGCACAGCAAATGTTTTCTTAATTGTGTCCCTTCCCAGGAAAGCACTTTCTGAGCTAACCACCTGTTTGCGAGAGCGCCTCTACCGATGGCAGCAGATTGAGAAGATCTGTGGCTTCCAGATAGCGCACAACTCAGGGCTGCCAAGTCTGACTTCCTCCCTTTACTCTGATCACAGCTGGGTGGTCATGCCACGAGTCTCCATCCCACCTTATCCCATTGCGGGCGGCGTGGACGACCTGGATGAAGATACTCCTCCAATCGTCTCTCAGTTCCCTGGTATGTGGTGGCTTGACCCGAGCAAAGGACAGATGGGGATATGCCAAAGGCTGGCAAACGATGCACCTGTGTCAGCGATTAACCAAATGAGATACAAACATAAAGGGCAGGTTAGGCATCGTCTCCAAGAGGCCAGCTGCTTAAAGAAGGCAACAGTACAGAAGTCGGAGAGCACACAGGCAGGCTGTGTGGTGGAAAGTGAAGGGGCTTTGGACTCTTTAACAGGCAGTTACAGAAGTGTGATCTCTCTGGAAGAGAAGTTTTCCCCGCTGTTTTTTTTGGGGGGGGGGGGATTGTGCCTTCTGCCTTCTTTTGCTCTCCTGTGTCCTTGCCAACTGTTTTCTCAGCTTGAAACTGGTGGATGTGTTTCAGCGGAATAGGTTAGGATAGTGACATTGGAGCGTTTTGGGGGTTTTCTTAACAGAAAACATCAGCAGCCGATCACTGATCGTTGGCTGGGCCAGGGTTGTCAATACCCACTCACCTGATCACGGTTGTGAGAAATATGGCATAAGTAAGAAAAATGGTCAGGTGGACATCCTCTCCAGAAATGGAGGAAGGAATTTGTCCCCTGAGTTGGGGGGGGGGGGCTGTGTCCTGGAAGGGACCTGAGGGAGGTGTTTGTGTCTTTTTTCCCCTTCCTTTCCAGGGAGCAGTCTGGGAGGGAGCAGAGGCCACTTTCTTCCTCTAGAATAGGGGAAGGGAGCCAGGCCTGGCCTGGAGGCAGCACTTGAGAGAGGGAGAGTGCACTTCCGTGCCATCGGTTACTTTATGTAAACGAGTTTGCACCCTCGGGCATTCTCTGCCCTCTTCCCACCCAGTTGCCCGTGAAAGACAAGGGCAGTGCTGTGCCCTTTGGTGCTGTGCTCTTTTTGCACCGTGACCGTGTCCGAAGTCCTTCCCTTCATGTCACAGGCCGCCTCTGAGATGTACCGGGGGGGGGAGGGGGCGGAGAGGAGGTGCTCCCCTTTTTTTGCTTCACGGGATGAAAGGTTCGCTTGAAGCCTCCACAAGAGCAGCGTTCTGAAAGTCCCTTGTGTGGCTCTGCTGTTTCCAGTCACCCGGGGGCGGGAGCTCCGAGAGGGAAAAGGGAAAGCCTCATGGGTATGATGTTGTGTTAAAGGAGCGCAGGGTAATGGTTGCTGCCCCTTCGTGGGGTGGGGTGGGAGGGAGGGAAGGAAGGAAGGAAGGAGACACGGGCAAGTGAGGCTAGAGGTGGGCAGTCATCCTGTTACGTCCTGTTTGCAAAGAAGACCTGTCCTCAGCAGATATACTTCTGTTCTTTGAGGTATCACATTTCCCAATCCCTAAACAGTGATAAATTCGTAGCTGGGAAAACATGTATTTCCATCAGCTGTCCCTGTGTGTGTTTCTGTTGTGATTGCAAGTGCTTTGCGGAATGCCCGTAGCCCCTGCTGAGTCGTTTGTGAAACTGCTGCTGACCACGCAACTTAATCCCTCTTTCCATGCTCGCACTCTCATATCATAGGATCATAGAGCTGGAAGGGACCTCCAGGGTCATCTAGTCCAACCCCCTGCACAAGGCAGGAAATTCACAAACAACCCCCCCCCCACCTCCCAGTGACCCCCTGTTCCACACCCAGAAGATGACAAAAAAAACCCTCCAGGACCCCTGGCCAAACTGGCCTGGAGAAAAATGGCTTCCTGGCCCCAAAGTGGCAATCAGCATTTCCCTGGGCTTGTAAGGAAGGGCCACGAGAACTAAGCATTGAGGTAACCCTTCCTGCCCTCCTCCCCATGATCTGCCCAAGTTCACAAATAAATATAAAGTGGTTGGTTTTGTGGCTCTGTAGGCTCTGCGCGCGGCCTCTGATATCATAATCCAAAGATGACGGATTGTATGTCCGAGTTCCAAGTTGACGGCTTAGGGTTTCTTCCATGTTCCGATGTTTCCTCAGGGCTTCATCCAGCCCACAACGGTGGTAGTATAGTGGGGGGGGGGGCTCCTACTCAAAAGCCTGGCGGAAGAGCTCCGTCTTGCAGGCCCTGCGGAACTGCATAAGATCCCGCAGGGCCCGGATCTCCCCTGGGAGCTCATTCCACCAGGTAGGAGCTGCCGCCGAAAAAGCCCTGTTCTTGACCTACCTTGTTTCCAGCCCTCATGTGCCGCACTCAGACCCCCCCCCTTTTTTTGTTGTCGTTGTCTTTTCATCTGCTGTGGCATCTTCAGTCATTGCCGATGGGGTTAGGGCGCTGTTCTCTGTCAACCAGAAATGCATCAGAACTGGCCCTATCCCCAGTTTGGTTTCAGAGATAAGCTCCAAACTTTGCACTACGAACACAGCGCAACTTTGTTCTCAGACATCTGGGCGGGAATGGCATTCAGAAGTCCAGGGTTTCTTCACGAGAATATCTAGTTGAAGACTCACCACTGGTCGGGTCCAAGTCTCTCATTTTCTTGATGCGTTGATTCCCATGTAATGCAAATCTTGTTGTTCTTCAGCACACAGGTGGGATCTTATTTCTGCCATCCAAGGTTACACTGAGCTAATTCCTTCCCATCTGTATCTCCCGTTCCAATTTTGGCCTGCTCCTTAGCTTACTGAATACCAGCGTACCTTTTAATGAGGTCTGGCATTTTTAAATGAGGGCTTTAAGCTTCTGAATTCGTAGCAGCTGTTGTACACAGTCAATGTACACAGAATGCTTCTTCTCTAATGGACTGTAGTAATAAATTGAAAGTGTCATGGGCACGGGATTCCTGTTAACTATTTGAGTCAAGCCTTGCTGTCTGGCATCACAAGTTTGGGAACCCAAGGTGACCTTTGCTCCCGAGACCTTAAAAATGGCTGCCAACCCTGCTGCGAGATTCCACCTCGTAGAGGTCACTTTTACACCTGCCTGGCTGGTCTCAATTTGGTGACTTGTATGCAGGTTTTACACCAAACTAGTAATCAGAGAAGCAGAATACACTTTTTACTGAAGGCGAATTGGAGCTCTATCTTTGTCTTCTCTCATAACTGAAACTCCGGGGCTATATGGGCCCATGTAGGTGTGATTCTCAAAGCAATCTTGTAAAATGTGCACTTATTCTTTGCCCTGTAGGCAGCAGGAAAATATTTCATGCCGTAACGTGCACCAGCAAATTAACTGTGAACTGTGTCGTTTCGTTCTTCTCAGGGGCCATTGTAAAACCCGCCACCTTAGTAAGAAGCAGCAGCATGTGTCGTTCCAGGAGAAACGTCGTGCCGTCCTCTCCACAGTCGCAGCACTTGGCACAAACCCCGCACACCCCTCTTATTACACAAGCTACTTTGCCCTCTCCAGACCCTGACATCCTCTCCGTGTCAAGTTGCCCTGCTGCGTACCGCACAGAAGAGGAGGAGGAGGCCATTTATTTCATGGCTGACAAACAATGGTACGAGAATGGCGCGTTGCATCATGGTTAGTCTCGTAGGCCATGCCTCCGCAGCCGCGTGGAATTCTGTGTCTGAGTGCCCTTCTCTCCAGACTTTTGGCTCCTGGAAGGAATTATCAGAGGGTGTTGATCTAGGAAATGGTGATGGGGGCACAGGGAAGGGGTTGGATATGTAGGATTCAAGGTATTTTGGGGGCTTATGAGTGAACTCTGCCGGGAGCCAGTCCAGGTGTAATATCCCCTTACAAGCTGTGACCCCAGGTGAACAGTCTTACCAGGGCATTCCCATCAGTAGAACCTATTAATAGGGGGCGGATCTTGCAATTGTGAAGTCGTGATGGATAAGCCAGCAGAGGAGGCTGTTCTGTCTACGGCTTTGGTCGTTCGCTGCTACCATCATAGGTCACCCACCCATAATCTTCTCATTGGTGCCCTGGTATGGAGAAAGGGGTAACTATGGACCAGTGAACACAGCTGGAGAGCTGTAAATTCACAATACGAAACAGAGCCTGGTCAGATAAGTGAGAGCAGATTGTCTTGGTTTCATTCCTATTGGATGCAAAACGGAAGAAGAAAATTTCTTCCTCCAGCTTGGAGATTTCTTCACTGGCTTCCTTTTTGTGTTTGGGATTCAGTTCAAAGTTGCTGGTGCTTGTGTCTCAAAGCCATTCGTGCCTTATGACACGTGTACTTTAAAGGCCTGCCTCTCCTTTCAGGCGCCTGTGCAGCAGCTCCACCCTTCCCACTCATGTCTCCTCTGTATCCCTTCCCTTCCCTTCCCTTGCTGCTGCTGCTGCTGTTTGGACATGGAGCTTTCGGGTCACTTATCCCCCGTCTCCAGAGCAGCCTCCCAGAGGAGGTGAGGCAGACTTTTGGCCCCACTGGCTTTCCAGAGAGATTAGAAAATGGAATTTTTAAGGAGGGCATTTGGGGCCAATTTCAACAGTTTGGGACAAAAAGCACATTCATTACTGTACTAAATTGTTATCGGGCGCATTGATAAGGTGGTTTTACTTGGTTTTGTTGGGGTGGTTTTATTTCTCATGTTGGCAACTGCCAAAGGTCCCAACTACTTTGAAAGAAAGGTCAGCCTAAAAACACGTTTCAGTGAATAAAAGGAATAATTTCTTCTGTTTGAAGTGATCAGTTGCTTCCTTTTATAATTTCAATAACGCCGAATGTCTTTTGATCACACGGTGGGAGGAATGCATCCTTTTCGGTTTAAAGACGCATAGTGAGGAAGAGAAGAACAGACAGATATTAATAACTTGTGAGCTGGAACTGCCTCGGCCATTGGAGGGGAGGCGAGACACGATCGGGAGCGGCCCCCTCTTGAGGTCTTTGTCCAGCAGACGACCCACAACAGGTCCTCTGTGAATCTTCTGGGAAGTGGGGTCTGCTCTTAAAATGTGACGTAGGCAACGTGGAAGCACTATTAATGCCTGAAATCAACTATCTGAACATCATTAATCTTAAGATGTCTATACCAATGGGTAGCATGATATTAATAGTGGCACTCTGTGAGAGCTGCAGTGGTTTCACTCCAGTGTCCTTCATGAGCATCCCGTGCCAGATGTTTTAACAGTGGGAGGGACAGGGAACTGTGTGCATTTCACTTAATGAATAATAAATTAAATCATTTGAATTAGCTCCCAAAGCAGCTTCCTGACAATCAAAGCCTAACTTTTAGCTGAGAAGCAGCATAAAAGTCCATTGCAATAAATAGCGTTAGCTGCCTCCAGCAGGTCTCTGGAGAGGTGGCCTGTTAGTCCTTAAATAAACAAACGAATTATTTTCCTGCTTTCTTACAATGATTTCTCCCCCCCCCCCCTTTGTTTTTAGGGACGTACAAGATACAGGCTCAGAATGTGACTCCATAACTTCCTCTGTCGGGCGGAAGCAGTCTCCCCCTTCGAGCCTTGAAATATATCAGCCCCTGTCGCCTCAAAAAATATCGAGGGAAGAACTCTCGCTGGAGGAGTCCTCCACCGGAGACTCTTCGTCCTTAACCGCTGACATTTCCCGGGGTTCCCCCGACTGCGTGGGCATGACTGAGACTAAAAGTATGATCTTCAGTCCAGCCAGTAAGGTCTACAACGGCATCCTGGAGAAGTCCTGCAGCATGAGCCAGCTCTCAAGCAGCACCCCCGTCCCCAAGCCCCGCCACACCTCCTGTTCGTCCACCAGCAGCGAAAGCAAAGCAGGCCACGAGACCGCCGCTGCCCCCCGGACAAGCAGCCTGTCACAGGACCTCTGCCAGAATGGGGAACGAAACAAAAAGTCCTCCAAAATCAAAAGCCTTTTCAAGAAGAAGTCCAAGTGAGGCTACGGGAAAAGGCGCTTGAGGGTGGCATCGGTGGACTTGTTGATGACTTATTTTTTTTTCCTTATTTTTTTTCTAATTAAGAATGTAGTCCATCTAGGTTTTTCCAAGCCCGGATGCCCTGGCGGTAAAACCTCTTAGGTCAAACTCCTCTTCTGTGTCTAAATGACTATAAAGTCAAGATGTGCCAGCTGTTGATGAGAAAAAAAAAATTCAAGACGGTTTACAGTCATTTGTCTATTTATTTCTGTTTTTTTTTTTAGTTTATATATAAAAACTTTTTTAAAAAACAAAAAACCACTTTAACACAAGCTTTAACGGACTAGGGAGCCCAGGCCGGGTTCGCCAAAGTTTCTTTTCTTTTTTTCTTGTTTACTGAAGCGTCTTCATATCTTTCCACAGAGCTATGGCATTTGCATACTGGACTTAAAAGAAACTCAATGAAGTAAAAACTACTTAAATTGCACTACTGTTTTCTTGACTGGAAAGTATCTCTGCAAGTGGATACTTCTGACTTGTAAGATGACAGGAAAAAAGATGGGTTGGTTCAATATTTTTAGGTCATTTTTATGTAAAAAACTAGCATTTCTAACTGTCAGTTTCTGGAATGGGAGCCTCATTTCCTCTACAGAATGCTTCTCTAACTGCATTTGTTAATGTAAATGATTTGGGTTCTGCTGTAAAGATCGTAATTATCCAGGGTTTTCACTGTGATTCTACTGCATTGCACAGGCTTTTAAAAAAGAGACTCTTGCTGAGAGAAGAAGCTCCTGATTCCATATGCAAGCGATAAAAGGTTAAACTTGATTTGAAGGACTTTTTAAAGACATTCGCATCCTTAAAAACTGGGATAGGGACAACTGTGGGCACTTGTTTACATACTTTGACAGACAAAGGATGTTTGATTTGTGAATATTTGTACTGTGGCAAAGACAATAAATTGGAGATATTATTGTGCAGTGGGTTGTTTTGATTTTAGCCACCCCTCTTTTCCACCAAGCCTCCCAAAGTCATTTGTTTGCTAGATGTTATATGCCACCGGCACTCATTCCATTTGTGGATATTCCTGTAAGTACCCCTTTTGGAGTAGATTAATAGCTCTTTTGCTGCTCGACCCTCAGCCCTATTCACTGGAGGTGCTATTATGTAGGCACACATAGCCAGAGTGTGAGCATGCCTGCCTGGTGGCGAATCCCACTGCCTGCAATGGAGCTGTCTTCCAAATGGCCGTGCAGGATTGCAGCTTCTAATTGTGTCAGTCATAAGATCTTATGAAATCTTTGTTCGATGTATACTCATTAATTCACACATATAAGTCATCTGTTGATATTGTAGTCACATGATGAACAGCATCTGTAAATCAAATTTGTGCATGTGACATTTTTCATGCCTACTCACTTATATCCCACTTTTCCTATAAACCATCCAAAACGGCTAACAAAACATCCAGTTAAAAGTGCCAGAAGATACAGTTTCTCTAACAGCCAAGCAACCATAATGTTAAAACACTTTGGAGCCAGTCTTCTTTTTAGTTCTTATATCCTTTTAGCCCCAATTAGGGAGGAAAGCCGTTTGTCACATTATTCTCCCCTCCGTCCCCTTGACCTCAGAACAACAACCACCTTGTGAGGTAGGTTAGGCTGAGAGATTGTAGCATGCCCAAGGCCACCAGGTGAGCTTCCAGGGCAGAGTGAAGATTGGAACCCGGGTGTCTCAGTTTCCAGTTTTCTGCAGTGTCTTCTAACTTCATTAAAGCTATGCCAAAAAGTGTACGTGAGTATACAGCTCTGGTCATCACAACAAGAAGCTAACTTCTAATATTAGCCTAACTTCCACCCAATTTCTCATAATTCCATTGTTGCTTTAAATATCGCCACCTAGTTAAATATTGGAGTCAGTATAGAAAACAGCTGGTTAAAAAATTAGTTTATTCCATTTCAGAAACCTTTAATGGCATAAAGTGTAATAAAATGCAGAAATAGTCATAAGAACATAAGAGACGCCAATGTTGGATCAGGCCAAGGGCCCATCCAGTCCAACACTCTGTGTCACACAGTGGCCAGAAATACCAGTGCCATCAGGAGGTCCACCAGTGGGGCCAGGACATTAGAAGCCCTCCCACTGTTCACCCCCCCCCCAGCACCAAGAAGACAGAGCATCACTTGCCCCAGAGCCCCTATCTATACCTTGTGGCTAATAGCCACTGATGGATCTCTGCTCCATATGCTTATCTAATTCCCTTTTGAAGCTGTCCATGCTTGTAGCCGCCACCACTTCCTGTGGCAGTGAATTCCAAGTGTTAATCACTCTTTGGGTGAAGGACTTCCTTTTATCCGTTCTAACCCAACCCCTCAGCAATTTCATTGAGTGCCCACGAGTTCTTGTATTGTGAGAAAGGGAGAAAAGTACCTCTTTCTCTACCTGCTCTATCCCATGCATAATCTTATAAACCTCAATCATGTCTCCCCTCAGTCGTTGTTTCTCCAAGCTAAAGAGCCCGAAGCGCTTTAACCTTTCCCCATAGGGAAAGTGTTCCAACCCTTTTATCATTCGAGTTGCCCTTTTCTGCACTTTTTCCAAAGCTATAATATCCTTTTTAAGGTGGGGTGACCAGAACTGCACACAGTATTCCAAATGAGGTCACACCATTGATTTATATAGGGGCATTATGATATTGGCTGATCTGTTTTCAATACCCTTCCTAATAATCCCCAGCATAGCATTGGCCTTTTTTATTGCAGTCACACACTGTCTCGACATTTTCAGTGAGTTATCTACTACAACTCCAAGATAAGTCTTACATAAATAAAACCAAAATGGGAGTAATAAAGCTCAGGTAAGACATTAAAACAGTTTCAAAGAATAACAGCACATAAGAACAAAATCAATCAAGTATTCTCTGCCTTAGCTAACCTTAGAATCACGATTACCCTTACTCAACACAGTAACCAAATACTCATCCACAAGTCCCATCAGTTACTTTGAGTAATTCTCTCTGAGGGACCAGAGAGGTTGGAAATAACAGGATCAAGGAGTTGTTGACAAAGCTTACAATGTGTGGGACAGTGAAGTAAAATATAGGAAATTAGGTTTGGTTTCAGTAAACCTTCGTCTGAAAAATCTGTAGAGCAGCTGGTACATAGTGGGTCCCAGTATGAAAATGGAACCAGGAGACTGCAAGCAGTTAATTCCTTACAGTTGTAATGGCTGCCTTCTGATGAAAAGACCAATTAAGTTGATGATGAAAGAGAAGGGCCAAATATCTGAAGGATTTAACTTGTTCCTCGGGTTTCCCATCTACCTTCCATGAACAGGTTTTCCAAGCATTGGTAAATATCAGGATCTTAGATTTCTGAGCGTTAATAGACAAGTTGTTCTTAGAACAGAAACCCAAAAAGGCTGAGAGCAGACGTAGAAGTCCAGTCTTGGTAATGGATAAGAGAACAGTATCGTCTGCATACAGCAAGAGAGGAACTGGAAGCGAGGTCATCTTTGGCACATGGTCTTCAAATGTAGTTAGATATTCTGGCAAGTCTGACATAAATACATTGAAAAGAGCAGGTGCAAGAAGACATCCCTGTTTTACCCCTTTGGTGACAGGAATCTTTTCAGTCCAAAAGGCCTTTGTGATTTAATACTTGGCAGCTATTAGATGAATGGAGTTTACATATCAGGAATAGCAAACGTGGGTCCATTCCCATATTAGCTAGTTTAGTCCATAAGAGAGATCTGTTGATAGAATCAAATGCACCCCACAAGTTTATAGAAGCTGCATATAGTTTGCCTTTTAGATGCAAGGAATATTTTTCTGCCAAAAAGGCAAGCGTGAGTGAATGATAAAGGGTAGAGCGTTCAGAGTGAAAACCCACTTATTCTTTACCTGGGAGATTATTAGACATCCAGTCAGACGATTCAAAAGGTGTTTGGAGTACCATTTCCCTAATACTGAGAGTAAACGTATAGGGCAATAGTTGGCGGGAGTTTTCGGATTGCCTTTTTTAAAGACGAACAATGATGGAGGTTAGCCAGGAATCCGGTGATATCCCAAATTTATCAACAAGCGTGAACAAGTGAGCTAGCGATTCAGAACACCAATCCAGGGGTTTTTTAATGAGGTTGGCAGCCTTACCCGATTTCATAGAAGCTATTAGTTCAAGAATTTCTGGTCTAGGAACCGAGGGCCAGGCAGGTACATTAGAAGGGATTTGGAGATGGTTAGAAGAATCAGGCAGTACCGAGTCTGAAAACAAGTTGGAATAATGACAGTCCAGTCAGAAGCCGGAATCGGTGGAGAATGGACTGTGTTGTAGGTTATTACCACAACTGGATGGTGCAAAGCTAAGGTTTATATATAAACAAACAATAACAAGAACTTAATGCACATTTATTTTTATGTCATGCAACAAAATACTTTGATGCAAAATGATGACTCAGACTGGATTGGAATCCAGCCAGCTCACCTGCAGCATGGCTTTGGTCCCAAACATAACATTTTTGGTGGTCAAACCTTGCTCCTTTTTTTCACCACTGGAAAACTGGTTGGGTCCAATACTTTGAAGACTGCTGAAAGGTGCTACAAAAGAAAATACTTGCTGAAAATACTAGTCTCCCCCCACCCCCCGACAATGAAATACCTAGGCCCCATTGCAGCCTGGCACCTGGGTTTTGTGGTGCTCTCTGTTAAAACATAATAAAGCAGACCTTGCACTAGATAATATAGCTGCTTGCTACTTTTAGTGTAGTTTAAGAGCTGGACGTTAAGGCAGTCGAGTGAAGTGTAATTTTTGTTGTTCAGTCGCACAGTCGAGTCCGACTCTTCGCGTCCCCGTCTTCTTTGACCTTCAGTTTTTCCCAGCATCAGGGTCTTCTCCAGTGAGTGCTCCCTTCTCATTGGGTGGCCAAAGTATTTGAGCTTCAGTTTCAGTATCTGGCCTTCCAGGGAACAGTCAGGGTTGATTTCTTTTAGGATTGACTGATTTGTTCTTCTTGCAGTCCAAGGGACTCTCAAGAGTCTTCTCCAGCACCATAGTTCAAAAGAATCTATTCTTCGGCGCTCGGCCTTCCTTATAGTCCAACTCTCGCAGCCATACATGACTACTGGGAATACCATTGCTTTGACCATGCGGACTTTTGTTGGCAGGGTGATGTCTTTACTTTTTATCATGCTGTTTAGGTTCGCCTAAATTAGTGTATTTAATTTAATTAATTTAATTAGTGTATTTAATTTAAGTGTAATTAGTGTGTATTTAATGTACAGCAGAATTAGCTTGTTACGGTGTGGCTTCATTTTAGACCCTCATCTTGAGGCGAGAGTCAAACTTTTGAATAAAAGCTTTTCATGTTTGAAGTTATCATTCAATAACAAAAGGTGGTTTCTTATTAAAACAGAGGTTGTTCAATGCCATCTCCTCTTTCATGTTGCTTAAATAACAACGCCTCTTAAATCGGTTTGCCTGGAAGAGTTCTAAAGCTGATGAACAATGGCAGAGATCTGAATTTTGGGGGGGAAGTAGTGCAAACACAACGGTGAAGAAATGTGCCCTGAAGATTTCTGTTTATAGAGAGGTGGCTGCAGTCTCCATGGCTTGTGGTACTTGCCAGTCTGCCTCCTGTTTTGTTGGTAGGCCACCATGATGGATTTACATTACATTACATTACACTTGCGATTTATATACCGCCCTATCCATGAGGCTCAGAGCAGTTTACAGACACAATTTTATCTAAGCTAGGAGTACAATGGTGAGGGGAGGGTATTTTTCCTAACTAGGCACCTAAGAGCAGGGTCTTTCTTGGATTCGGCGGTGGATTCGATGGTGGTTCCTTTTTTCCTCAAGGGCGCAGGTGTCCAGTGCTGAAGTACGGATTCTCTGCATTAGCGGCTCTTTTCCAGCAGATAGCCCCCACAGAACACGAACGAGGCAGCTCG